TAGGCTGGACCCTGGCCATATAGGGCTTTATAGGTAAGAACCAGCACTTTGAAGCGAATCTGGTACGCTATTGGCAACCAGTGCAGCGCTTTCAGCACAGGCTGAATGTGGTCCCTTCTAGAGAGACCAATTAACAGCCTGGCTGCAGCATTCTGCACCAGTTGCAGCTTCCGGATTTGCAACAAAGGCAGCCCCAAGTAGAGAGCGTTGCAGTAGTCTAACCTCGAGGTGACCGTCGCATGGATCACTGTGGCCAGGTCATCGCGGTCAAGGTAGGGGACCAACTGCCGTGCCCGCCGCAGATGGAAAAAGGCGGACTTGACAGTGGCTGCCACCTGGGTCTCCATTGTTAATGTGGAGTCCAGGAGCACCCCCAAACTCCGAACTCCAGACGCTGGCACCAAAGGCACCCTGTCGAAGGTCAGGAGAGGGAGCCCCAACCCCGCTCCGACTCAAGCCCAGGACCTCCGTCTTCGCCGGGTTTAGTTTCAATCGGCTCAGCTGGAGCCAACCAGCCACAGCTTCTAATGCCCGATGAAGGTCATCGGGACTCGAGTCCGACTGGCCACCCAGCATCAGATAGAGCTGGGTGTCATCTATATGTAATGGTTGAGGGAATTCTGTTTCACTGTATCTGGAGAAGTGTGCTTGCACAGTAAAGCTTATACCTTGAATAAAATTTTGTTGGTCTTAAAGAAGCCACTCTAACTCGAACGTTCTCCTGCTTCAGACCAACACGGCTACCCACCTGAATCTACCATTCAAACTATTAAAGTTAATTAAGATGGAGCAGCTCGCGTCCTGCATATGTAGCACCTCAGTGCCAGCCATGTTTAGTTAAAATACTGAAAAACAATGACCCTTATGGAATACTTGTTCCAATAGTCACTATCATTCCAGTTACCACACTAGCATGTAACAAGAATCTATGAATATACAATAATATAAAGGCTGGCATTTATATTGCTTTGCAAGAGTCCTACAGCAGTATTACATGATGATAAATATAGGTTTCATACTCCTTAGGAATATTAAGGTGTCTGCTGACTGCTGACACATTTTCAGAAGCATTCTCAACAAAGAATGTCAGAAAACCTCTTCTAATAGCTCTATGCTAAAATCTATGTTCTGCTTTCTATAGAAGGAATATTTGGTTCTACAATCTTGGACATGCTATTTCATTTTACCTACCCTAAGCACAACTTAACCTAAACAGTATTCTCTGCAGTTCTGCTAGACCAAACTGTACTTTCTCAAGAGAACTATTACCAGCAATTTCAAAATTAACATGCTTTATGTGCAGCGTACAAAAAAAGATTGTCTCATGTTAACACAGGAATATAGCTTTAATACACCAGAATTGTTTAATGTGAATCTGATGGCCATACTATGAAGAAAAAATAATCTGACATTAATGGACCATATTTTCATTTTCAGAATTCTTATTCAGGACCAACACAGGAACACTTTAAAGCAAGCCAATGAGGAATACATGCCTTTCAAGAATTCCATTTTGCTTCTAAGAAAGAGAGGATCCAAAAAGTAATATAACATAAAGCAAAAGCATAAACGCACCTCGGCAATTAAATTTGGCGGTGTCATAATGTCTTTCAGCACACCTGGAAAAAAAAAATAAGGCTAGTTTAAATGCAATACGAACTACTTACTAAGGACACCATATATAATATTCAAGCACCTTAACACCACATCCATATGCAGAACATACACATATTGTTCCTGTTAAGCTTAGTATCTGGATATATAGAACCCTCAGAAGTTCTCCCAAACGTATGGATAAATATGAATGTATCTGAAAACAGACTAACCCATTAGTGTTTCCTTAAGAGAGCCTTATAATACATACATATGCATTAGGTGAAATTATATGCACTTACATTCTAAAAAAATTCTACACAAGCAAAGACTGCTTAACCTAGAATAAGTTATCGACAGATGGTAATGCAAAATAATAGTATGAAATATGGAACAGATTACAAGGGGGCACCTGGTCCACTCCACACCCCCAACTCAGCCATGATGCTCAGTGAGAAACTTTGTTTCAGTCACCAGTTTGCACCCTAAACATAACATACTTAAGGTTGCTGTGACGTATGGGGAAAGGAAAGGGAACAGAAATGTAATAAAACCTATTGAATTTAATTCTGACTGGGGCAAAGAATCCCCCTCAAACTTTAACTTAATTCCATTTCAATGATTGCTCACTAAGATTTATATCAAGAGGTTTTCCTTTTAAATACACACAGATCTGATACACCAATTTCCCCAAAGTAGGAAGTATGTACTCCATTCAAGGAAGCCATGGGGGGGGGGGGGGTGCCGTTTTCTGTAGTTGCCGCTACTCTTAAAACCCTTAGTCATTATCCAGCCTGTCTGGAAGTTTCCGGTTCCCGTCTGTAATTGTGGTGGACACGCTGAAAGATCTCTCCTTGTACTTAAGGTTTTTTTCTCATAGTTTTTATCAACCCCTTTTAACCTTTTTACTTCTTGTGTCAACTCTCTTACTCCTTGTATCATCTATTTAATTAGACGGCTTTTTTTCTATTTTAAATGAGATACGAAGCCTTGCTGGATTTAAGCCACTAACGACGCGTCCCTCAGCTTTTATCTTTATGTTTAAGAGTTCCGAGTACTCTACTTGCCTTACCACTTTTAATTAATCCTGAGTGACATCCATTTCTTTTTATTTGCAACTTTCCTGCTCTGAGAAAGGAAAGTGAACTGTTACCTGCTCTACTGTTCTGCTGAACTTAAGATTGGTTTAGTCCTCAACTAAACTGGGACAAATTAGAAAACGAAGTCACAGAAAATAGGAAGAGATGTTGAGGCAGATTCTTCCCCAGCATCCAAACAAGCAAAAATTGGTGATTATTTTCTAGCCTCCTGCAATTTACAATCTCAGATTCCTACTTCTAATCGTTCTGCTCCCTGGTGGAGGCTGCTGATGAGATGGTAGAGCTGCTTGGGTCTCCTTCTCCTCCCTCACCTCAGAATGAGGAATTTGTGCACTCCTCTAGGAGCTCAGAGAAAGGAAGTGGGAAAGTATTTAATGAGGCTCAAGAAGACCTTATTTTGCTTACAGCAAGGACAGTGGAACACATTTACAGAGACCTCCATCTACTGAACTCCAAGTTAGACGATTTGATCAAACAGGGGAATAGGATTCATAATCCTGGTAATATTATTACAATATTGAAAGATGAGACTCATCCAGCTGTGACTGTCAACCCGGCTGCAATCCCCAATTCCAGCAAACTTGACAACCAAGAACAAGGCAGAATGAGAGCAGAGCCTTTTCAACTAGTTCCGCAACCAAAAAGGATATGTCTACAAATCTGCAGATATAAAGGCTCCATCCCTTCTGGAGGTCACCTTCACTTATCCGGAATCATTTAAGAGCTCTTTGGACAGCATATTAGATACGTGGATATTAAATCAATTGAATCTCTTAATGAACCTAACCAAATCCAGAAAGTTCTGCTGACTTTCAGTTCTTCCTTTATCCCTGAATTATTATTACGCTATAAAGACTTTTTGTATTCCAAGGGAATTTTCCCTATCCATGTTTTCAAGGATTTGACATTATCTTCACTGCTTTCATGCTGTAAGAGTCCTCACTATGACAAGCTTCCTTCCGATGCTTTGGATATTATTCGGAAGGGCAATATTCTAAATAAGCCTGTTGTTTCAAATGTTATTAATGCTGTTAACAGCTCTAATGACCTAATAACATAGTCTGACTCTCCTAAAAGATCTCCTATTTTAGACAATAGCTTTTTAGGATCTGAAATCTTAGAATCATTTAAGACCTTTCCTTTATCTGAACAAAGCTCAATTACAGATAGATTGAATTCAGTGAGATCCGGGCTTTTAGATAGTGTTGCAAGTGATATAGATACTGCAATCAAACGGATTCCTAAAGTCAGTGGCTTGGTGCAAAAATAGCCCCCATTGACCCTTTGGCTCCCAAGAACCCTAAGGAATGTTCTATAGAAGCTATTGTATATCATGCACCTACTAGCCCTACTTTTGTTTCTGTATGCAGGGAAGCTGGGGAACCTGACCATGCAGCCCCAGCCCAGCTGCTTCCCTGTTGTCCTACTGATAACTCGAGAAACGGTTGTGTTATAAGTAATTCTAGTAATAACTTAGGTCAGCTTATTGAAATGAATGTTCCCCACCCCCAACTATTAGGTTTGCTTCTTGGAACATAGCAGGGTGGAGGAATAAGGGAAAAGATCATGAATTTATTAAATTCCTTATGATTTTGATATAGTTCTCTTACAAGAAACCTGGGCTACTACTCACTTATAATTGGAGGGATATAATTAATATTCCCTCAGCTTCAAGGACTAGTAATAAAGAATGCAGGAATTTAAAAATTCACATCCGTACAATTTACCGGAACTTGCAGAACTCTTTGGCCACACAATTTCCAGTGGAATACCGAATCTTTAAACACTAGCTATTCCAACTAACTGATATTAAAAGACAGGTTTTTATGAATAAACAACAGGAAAAACTCCTTTCTGCTATTTCTAAAAATGACTCTAGACAGTGTTGGGCTCAAATTGCGGGTGCTATACGCATCGAATCACCTTCAGTTTCTGCAATGTCTTCTGGAACTTGGTTTCAATATTTTCCCTCTATATTTCAAGAGGAACTCTCCTGTCCTGGTGAGTTCCCTAATTCTCAATTGACTGATCTTCCTGAGTGGCCACCTGTGGCCCCTGAAGAAATTATAACTTTAATTGATCAATTAAAAATAGGTAAGGCTCCAGGGCCAGATGGAATTATTCCTGAGAACTTGAAAGTTGACCTGGATTGGTGGGCCTCCCCTCTGGCTTCCTTTTTTACAATGATAAACAAAATGGGTCAGATGCCTGCAGCCTGGTCCAATGCCACTATTGTTCCCATCTATAAGAAGGGATCACAATATAACCCTTCCAATTACAGGTCAATAAGTTTACTCTCTGTAATAGGAAAACTATATGCTAATTTTTCACAACTAAAGTTCCTTAACTGACTTCCAGTTGATGGCGGGACGCTTGCGGACTCATCTCCCGGACCTCCCGAGGGTGTCTCCATGCTCCGGCGGAAGGAGGGGGCAAGCAGGCTCATAAACCCCCCCAGGGACCCAGTGAAGGGGCCCTGGCCAAGGAGCTCTGAGGGGTAGCCTTTTCAATGGCGGAATGCCAGAGAATCGAGGCGCCCCTTTGCTCCAGTGGTTCTTCCAGCCGAGAGACCGAATGGTACAAGTGAAGCTAACCGGGTCAAGCGCAGGCGATCGGGCGTTAAAAATGACGAAAGAAGCATGGTCGGAAGGTCAACTATGAACGTGAGTCAATCGGGAAACGATTTTTGAAAGAAAAGACGCTCCCTACCCTACTCCGTGGAACGGGAAAAGCGAGCCGGGAGGGGACGCCTCCCATGCGCATAAACTGTTGAGCGAAAGGGGGGGAGCAGAAGAGATACACGATTGAAATTGCCCAGAAGTACTTAGCCAATCGAGCTAAGCAGACAAGCACATAATTAGAGACTTTAAAAAACTTTTCAAAAGTAAACAAACGGGAAAAAGATGGCGGGGAAGAGGGACAAAGACAAAGAAAGACCTTTGAAAACGAAACCAGCGTCCCCAAAGCCGGAAACGACCAGTGAGACGGCAAAGGCTGTAGCTGAGTTCATGCGCCCTCTACTGGAACAGCTGAATAACTTCAAAGAGCAGATGTCCGTGGTAACACAAAGCATTACTGTGCAACAAACGCAAATAACTGATCTGATCCAAGTAATGAAGCAGGATGCTGAGAAAGTAAAGGAAGTGGCTGAATCAACGTGCCTGGGGAAATTGTAGTAAGATTCTCGAAGAGGCACGTCAGGGATGCTATCTTGAAAGCAGTAGCTGCAACACCCCTGAAGGCAGGGGAGAATGCTGTTAGAACGCTAAAGGATATTCCATTTGAAGTAAGACAACGCAGAAAGAAATATAAAGAACTTGTGCTCTTTCTTCAAACAAATTCAATTGGATATAAATGGCTATTTCCAGAAGGCGTAACATTTAAGATTAAAGAGAAGAAGGAAAAGATTGACTCTGTTCTGAAAGCTCAAGAATTCTTAAAGGAATAGCTGGGAAGGTCAGAGGACGAGAAAAAAGAAGAGGACAGCAAGTCCAGTGGTGAACTGGAAACTGGTTCATCTGGCGAGGACTCTTTGTCTGAGCAGGGGGCAGCAGCCCTGAAAAGTCCCTACAAGCTGCGGAAGAGAAGGGAAAAGAAGTAAAGGCTGAAGGACTCTGATTGGTGCCTTTGAGAACTTTGGTTCTTGGGGATGATTCGGGGTACTGTTATTGGGCAGTTAAATGTAAACTTTGATGGTAAAAGGTTTTAAATGTTTGACTCAGTTCATAAAAAGAACAACGATGAAAAGACTTGATGTATTAAAGCTAGTTGGAGGATCTCCTCTCTTGGGTTTTTAGATAGTAGTGGGCACTTTACTTTCTCCTGTATGTGTAGTTTCCCTTCCCCTTTTTTCTGTTGTAGTTTTTTGTAGTGGTAAAAAAATCAATAAAAAATCCCCTCCGGGGGCTCAAAAATAATAATTAAAG